TGAAATGCAATAAAATGCAAACACATTATGTGTCCAAAATTAAGGATTTTTAAGTTTGACAAAAAAAATTATTTCAATTATTTTAAGTAATTAATTACGAGTTATAAATACACTATTTATTTCTAGTACAGTATAAGGAAACTATTGAAATAATTATATTAATATTGATGTATAATAATTTCTTTTATACGTTTACCACATAATTAGCATTTTAAGAATATCAGTATAATATAAAGTAAAATATATCTCTTTTTATATTTTATCCTGCTTTACTTCGGACAAATTATATTTACAATAAAAGTCTAAACTATTATTTAATAAATGATGACAAATAATGTGACATTGATTAACATAAAGTATAAACAGGAGTTTTAAACAAAATTTTAATATAACCATGTTATTATATAAAAACTAATAGATAATAAATCGTCATACACGTTTATTGCATAATTAACTACTCAATAATTTTTATCAAATAAATATTTTATTTGCTTAGATTCATCCAAGCACACAAATTATATTTACAATAAAAGTCTGAATTAGTATTTTATAAATGATGGCAAATAATGTAACGACATATACGTCTAAAATGCATTATATATTACGCCAGTATTGGGTCAACGAGACGGACGACAAAATTAAACCCTATGTTATATTAGGGGGCGGACCTGAGCTGTTTGTAACTTTAATGCTATTATGGCTAATATTTATCACAAAATTGGGCCCAAATATAATGGCCGAACGAAAGCAATTTGTTCTGCGTAAAACACTTATGGTATATAATTTAATGTTGGTGGTTATTAATGCTTATTTTGTATGCACGGCGGTTAAATGGCTTGATTATGGCTTCAAACCCTGGTTTGATAGACTGCCGGCCCGTAACCAGTGGTCGGATAAAGCGGTCGCTGAAATACCCGATAAAATAATCTACTTTTATACAAAACTAATTGATTTATTCGATACCATATTCTTTGTGTTGCGGAAAAAGTCTAATCAAATCACGTTTCTTCACGTTTACCATCATTTTATAAGTATTTTAATACTATCATATAAAACAACTTCTATTTGATAAAGTTATATAAGAAAATAATCATACCACAATGAAACTTAGAATAACTTCTTAAAAAACCTTATCAGTTCAATTTTTAATTATTTAATTTTTAACCTCTCGCCTTTATCGTAGAGATTATTATTAAATTAATATTAATTATTTTGCAGCCCCAGTGTTGGCATACATGGCATTAAAACTGTGTCCGCAAACTATTATTCTCAAAGGCGTGTGTTTTGGCAACTCTATAGTGCATACCGTTATGTATAGCTATTACCTGTTGTCGGCATTTGGACCCTGGATTCAGCCCTACTTATGGTGGAAGCGATACATAACACGAATACAGTTATTACAGTTTGTCATCTATGGTGTGACTATACTTATTGCCATATATTATGGTCTACACACCGATTATCCCATAGCATTACAATGGTTGGCCACTTGGCAGCCATTTATATTCTTTTACATGTTTTACCGTTTTTATGTTAACTCATATAATAAAGAAAAAGTACAATAATTAATATTTAAAAATATTTAAAACTTAATTAGGCTTCTAAATCTACAAATAATTATCTGCTTTATTTAAATGTAATATAATTTATACATTAACTAAATTTTCATAATTTACAATATAAGTTAGTTTGTTATGACAATAATCATTATTGATTTAGAGCTGCCTAATACTTAAATAAAAGTTGCATTGCTCTAGGACCTAAAGTCTAGGTACATGTAATTTATTTTAAATAACAGTATTTGTATTTAATTCTATAAACTTATTTTGTGGAGAATTTAATGGAGAACATGAGTGTTGGAATAAAAATATTTATAAATTATTAGTTTTGCATTTAATTATAAATTATTAAGTTATTAAAATGGATATAATATGTATAATATCTAAAATGTGTATATTTAATTATTTTGTATCGGAAATATATTTGCTTATGTATTATTTGACAGTATTAAATTGTACATTGTTTGTTTCTAATACTAATAGTGTAAAAATTAATATTGCATATTTAATTGACCAACAAATTATATATGCATTAAAATAATGACAATATTTTTATAAACATATTCCCAAATATAAAGGGATAAAAAGGAGTCGTTATTAATAATATGAGTCTAATGTAATAATACATCAAGCTAGTTTTAACTCTAGGTATAGTCTGGCCTGTGTGCAATTTTCTATTTTTAACATTCTCCCTGGATGGTTTGCGGAGATCGTACGCCCAGCCTAACCACGCAAAAAAGTCGATAAACAAAGTGCCAGGGTTAAATGCGACAAACTTTCCATGTTCACATTGTGAATAATCCCTAGGAATTGAACATGATTATATTAAATTAAAATATCTCACCAAATAAGCATTTTACCATGGGTATGTATGATGATAATTATGATAACTCTCGCCCATCATTACGTACTCCATCGGGCAATCAGTACCGCTAATGTGTTTATCGTATGGCTATTGGGTAATAAAATAATTATATAGCTAGTAAAACAAGCACATAATTTATACAAGCTAACCAAACAAAAAATTATAATAGTTACCTTATTACCAAACACGTGGGCAACGCTGGCCAAACTCCAGGTGACGTTCAACGTGAAAGCATGCCGGTAAAACACGCATACAAACAACGCTACCCACAGATTCTCCGACCAAAAATACCATGGTATTAGCGTCGGTATAGCACCCCATATGACCACCGCTAGTGGCACGTGATAGCGGCGATCAAACTGTATCAATGGATCGTGGTCCAAGTCGGACATGTCAATGGTCCTGCTGGCCCGGATCACCGCCGGGTGCTTACGGCAGACGAGCCAACCGATGTGGGCAAAGAAAAAGCCGCGCCGTATGTCTTGGGGGTCGGCGTCGGTGTCGGCGTACCGGTGATGCACGCGATGGTCGCGACACCACTTGTAAACGTTGTGCTGGAATGACATAATAGCCAGAGTCATGAGTAGGCGGCGCAGGGCTGGTGTGGCTTTGTATGCACGGTGTGTCCACAGCCGGTGTACTCCGCACTACGGTTTGCAAACGTGTAATTCAATGGTATATTAACTTACATGTATATGATTTGATATAATGAGGGGGGAGATAGAGAGAGAGAGAGAGAGAGAGAGAGAGAGAGA